GCGCGCACGCATCTGAACCGGCGACCTCGGCTTCAAGAGCCGAGTCTCGTCACCACTACGGCCAGGACACCAGTACTTGGCCCAGCTATCGATGCCGAGCCTGGTATGCCCCTGCGCCAATTTTTGCCGAAGTGCCAGGGTACCGTTTCAATTTTCTTTTGGCTGGCGCTTCCAGCCATTGTGGTCCGGTACCCGGAACCCCTAGAGGCGCGGCGCGTTAACCGGAAAGCACTGCGGCCGATAGCGGGGCCAAGTACTGGTGGTTTAAAAAGTGAAACCATACCCGTCGTGATATCCACCCCATGCCTGGAAAGCTGTAGTGTCCAAACTCAACACACACACCTCAACTCAACACACACACCTCACTAACTCCACACGGACAACACGAAGGGTCGGCAATTCTCGCTCACTCAGCTCCAACTGAGCACGTATCCTTCACTTTAACAATATACATCCGTTAGTGTGACACACGAACTGGAAGAAAAAAGAAAGTCTAAATGGGACCTTACGCAACCGAAATAGAAAAGCCAAATTTTGCACACAAACATGCAAACTAGACTCCGGTTTCATCATGCATCTGTTTTACGTCAAGATTTGTTATCAAAAACGCATCACACAAACAGCCCACCTTCTTCACCTTCTAATACAACGTACGGTCGTTATAGATGTACTTTTTGGGTATCTTTCCGTCTAAATACAGCAATAATGACCGTAGGCTCTATGCGGGTGAAGAAGGTACCCCATCACCAAGCGATGGACTTCAATAGATGCCCCCTCCCTTTAACAGTTAAGGCAGCAGCAAACCAATTGAGAAAATCGTAGCCCAACCACCCAGAGCCCCTTTTCTGGAACGGCATAACTTACAAACAAATTGGCAGCGTAAAAGGGAAAAAAACGACTAAGGGCGTACTCACACTACCATATCGCAAATGTATCTGACCCCATTCACAGCCATACCTGGGTGTATCTGCCCGCAATTCCGTTCAAAAATCCGTAAAAAAGTCCTCCATCCGACGGTGATGGTTCATGCGGAGCCTCCCAAATTCTAGGAGGATGAGAGAGGATGGCCCGCTTGGCCGCAGGAATCTACATCACTGACCATCTTCCCCCAAATAGAACGCACGGTCATTAGAGCTGTATTTGGGGTCGCGATACAGCTAAACTTAATGACCGTGTTTTCTATTCGGGTGAAGACGGTAGGCTAATCTTAATCCACTCTGCTGAGACCGTTATCCACCATCGCACTCATCGCCACCATCATGGTCATCATCACCGCCCTCATCATCACCGCCCTCATCATCACCATCATGGTCATCATCACCGCCATCATCGCCGTCATAGCAATCGCTACAAAAAGTGGCTGATAAAATAATGCAACCCTTTTTCAAATATAGAATTAATAAACGCCAGTATCAAGAGCACCGTCACTGCGTCAATTCATTTCATTCGCCCGGTCTCTCCTCACTTACCGTATTAATCCATCATCGTCCCATCTTCCACCCATCACCCATCCATCATCCATCGATCATCCACCATCATCCATCGTTCATCCACTACTCGTTTTATCATTATTAATCGTTATCGATCATCATCCATCGTCGTCAGCGTCACCATGTCAGCAAATGCAACCAGTTTCTCAGTTGGGAGGTTCCCGATAGTCCTTGGCATTAAGACGTCGGTCTTGACGGACTGGATGTGTGATTGCTTGATTGATTGATCGATTGATTGATTAACTGATTGATCGGTTGATCGATTGATTAATTTACTGATTGATTGATTGATTTTGATTGATCGATTGATTTTGATTGGACTGTTGCTTAAACCTCTTTCTTTCAACCTCTTTCTTTCAAATCCATGTATGGCTATAAAAAACGATCGTCTTCGATTTGTTTTTCCAATAATCTGAAAAACGCGACTATCCTGTGAGTACATGTCGAACTGCCCCTCAATCCTCCCACAAATCGCGCGGGGGAAGGGGCAGGGGGGAGGGGGGAGAGCGCGGGGAGGAGGAAGGTGGGGAGGAAGGGGGGGAAGGGGGTGAAGGGGGGAAAAGGGAGGAAGGGGAGGAAAAAGGGGAAAGGCGGGGGGAACGGGGGGGCGAGAAGGGGAGGAAGGAGGGGGGCGGCGGGGGAAGCCAACAGAAGCTAAACGCGGGTAGGTGAAGAATTGCCCTCCCCGAGAAGGGAGAGTGCACACACAGAAGATATATCCTTCACCGAGCCTCTAACGAACCCCAACCTAACCTCCACCCACGCGCTTCGTTCCACCTGAAAAAGGAGCTACCTCTATAGCCACTCCAACCATCCGTATGTAGACCCATTTCCGCCCCTTCGTGTACCATTTCATCTCTTCGACAGTTTTTACCGAACCTTTACCCGAGCCTTTACCGAACCTCTAACGAACCCCAACCCAACCTCAACCGCGAGGTCGGCTGCTTACTGAGCACGAACCTGCTGCTGCTTACCGAGCACGAACCTGCTGCTGCTTACTAAGCATGAACATAACTGCCTGCCTGTCTAGCCACACTGCACCCAGCCATCATAGAGCTTCAACGAACTCCAGCCTTCCACCTCAAGAACCTCGCAACAGCTTTTACCCAAACCTCTGGTCATATCAAGCGGACCCCAATAGCGAACCTTTTTTCGAGCCTCGGCTTTTCGCTCGATTATGGGGTCAGAGAACCTCCAGGATTTCACGAAGGAAGTCTGCCGAACCTCCCCTTCAAGCAGTCAGTCGTACATCAAAAAAGACTTGGCGCTTCACCGCAGCTGAACCGAACCACCAAACGCCCACTCAAGCGCTGGGTTTACAACACACCCGAACCTCCATCGCAGCTCTACTTCCTCCTCCATCGACCTTGCACTGAAGGGTTCCACCCGAGGGGCAGCAGAGGGTTTTCCCGCCGCCGCTTTTCACCACGGCCTTCACCTACGCTCGGCCGATGCTCTCTCATCTCTCTCTCTCTCTCTCTCTCTCTCTCTCTCTCTCTCTCTCTCTCTCTCTCTCTGTGGGTTTCCCCGCGGCCGCTTTTTCACCACGGCCTTCACCGACGCCCGGCCGATGCTCTCTCTCTTTCTCTCTCTCTCTCTCTCTCTCTCTCTCTCTCTCTCTCTCTCTCTCTCTCTCTCTCTCTCTCACACACACACACACACACACANCTCTCTCTCTCTCTCTCTCTCTCTCTCTCTCTCTCTCTCTCTCTCTCACACACACACACACACACACACACACACACACACTACTTTGGAAATCTACTTTCCTAACGACTTGGCCTCTTCTTCTTCTTCTCCTTCTTCTTAAATTATTATTTAGGACAAGATATGAAACTGATCAGACTTGATCTTAGCCAAAAGGCCTCTTCTCACATGATCAGAATAATGCTGTTGTGTTCTGCTTCCTCCTGCAAGTTTTCCTAATTCCACTGGCAAACTGCATTGCACAGCTTGACTACCGATAACGGGGATCTTGCACAAACCCCGACGTCCTCCCTGCTTTTTTTTTTGGGGGGGGCGCATTTGGCATTTGCCATTTGCACTATTAATGTATTCGTGATTCTGCATTTTTTTCCTTTCACATTTTCTTGTTCGTTTTTCTCGTTTTTCCCATTTCTTTTTTTTTTTCTTTTTCTTTTTTTTTTGCAGCGAAATTTGTGCCCTCTTTTTTTGACACACTACATCAAGAAAAGGAAAAGGGGGCAATCTGATTTTTCGTGTCATTCGGCTTTCTTTCACGGGCAGGATGTCGGGCTCTGTGCAAGATCTTGCACAGACTCTGACATCCTCCCTGCGGTTTCAGCGTTGATTTATCCAGCTTACGTGTGAAATGCACAAGCCACAACGATTCCATATAAATCCCTGACTCCAAAAAAAATATGGGAAAAATCTTAACGCGGATTACTGTATTACCTCTTTTTTTTTTTTTCCTTCTTTTTTTTGGAAAGTCAGAAAACAATTTAAATTTTAAACCAGAACGATAAAGCGGGAAAACTCTGCTGCTGCCATAAGATGGTTATGGTTATAATTCGGTCAAACTCGAAATATTTCTGGTTTTCCCGTAATTACAAAAAAAAAAGAAATGGGGCAAAGGATAGAAACACACTCAAGTCAGTGACTGACATTCCAATTTTGGCAATTTCAATTTCTCAAGGGATTTTTATTTATTACTCCATTGGGAATTTAGGATAGATGGAGAGGAACTGCCATCAACGAATTCATCATGGCTCCCTTATGTATCTGGCCACAATTACAGCCAGCCCTGGATGTATCTGACTGTAATTACACCCGGAGCTGAGTTGAAAAAGTCCTGTCCTAGTGTGAGTACGCCTTCATTTACCAATTGACTGGTGATCATACCATCTTTTCACAATCCCATCCTTTCAGTTGCTTCGCACTGGAAACCAACAATCAAATTCAATTTCACTATTTCACACATGGACGGACCATGTGCACCCGCCCCCACCCCCCCTCCTCCTCTTTTCCCCATCACCACCACAAAACTGATTTACGCCTGATCAGATCCCTTATAGCTTCAGAAAAGGAAAGCAGCGTACAATCCAAGAGGAACATATCAACAAATACACATGTTTGAAAAAAGACCAAGTAAATATAAACCGAAAAAAAAAAAAAAAAAAAAGAGAAGAACGAAAGACAGAAAATATTTATATCTCGTCACAAACAGAACTGCCCGGTAAACCGTAGGCAGAGAGAGAGAAGAGGACAACAAACGAGGGGCTGTGACAAACTGTTTCGTCGGAGTTTCACCGACTCATCAGGA